AGAGATTCTATATTTCAAGTTCTCGAACAATAATTGACAGAATAAAATGGTGTATAAGAGGAGCAAATATTACATGTGGCGACCGCACATCCGAACCATGGTTCGGATGTGCCGCTGTGCGATACACAGAGGCGTGATCACATTCGGACTGTCGTTCAGACGTGTGGTCCGCCGCACGCATTATTTTCTCGTGCAAGAGAAATACCAGTTGGCCATATTATTTTCAATAAAAAAATTGCATTGGTAAGCTTATGACTCATTATAAATCATTGTATAAAAAATGCACAACAAATGATTAAAATGAAGGAAAATTTACATACACACCACAAAATTTTTTAATATTTACATAACTAAAACCTAAAATTTCATATTTATATTTATAACACTATGGTGTGATAAACAATGTATGAAAAGGTGTGTTTCGCCTTTTAAAAGTAGGTGGTAAAGATATTTTAATGTGATATGAAAGATTTGAGTGCTATACATTTAAAAATTAAGGTTTGGATTTTAGGTATGTAAAGGCCCCTTAGATAAAATGAGAGTTAATACAATGATATAAAGCGTTTGTATAACAACTATAAGATAAATATTTTGAACTATAAAATTATTGATCCAAGTGCTTTCTTACATAATTCAATTTGTAAGTGTGAGCTCAAGGGTTTAAAATATAAAGTGAATAATCAAGAGCTGCAATGATTTCGGCTTTGGTTAGTAGAGTACTCTAAGTTATTCATATTGAATTGACTACATAAAATAAATGAAGGCCACATTAGAAGAAATTAAAGACGGTCTATAATTATTCAAAAAAGACTTTAGATGTTATAAAAGTTATTTGATAATTTTTAGAAATTTATTTAAATTGATTTTCAATTTATTTGAATTATTTCATACTTATTGATAATAGAAAATTATTCTAAACATTTTTTTATTGATGCATGCATATATACTATTTTAAATATTAGTTTACTAGGAAACTTATACCTGAAATGAACTAACAGGAGAGTTGCCATGAACGCAACAACTAGCCCACAAGCATGAGAACTGCCTTGCTGCTTTCACCACAACTAGAACTCTCGAAAAACTCCGAGCCAAGTGAAAGAACTCAAGAAAATGTGGAAATAAACCAAGCGACCCCCCTCCTATTTACAGCAGAGAGAATAATTCTCTATGGGGCCTATTTCACTAAACCAAATTCATATAAACATATAAAATATGACCTTTTAAAAACATACGAACGACTTGTAATCTACAACATATACATGCAGGTAGAAAAAAACTTTTCAAAACTAATAAATAAATATTGCACGCATTCTAATGATAAAATATTCATGCAAATAATAAAATTGAATAATTTCAAGTTCTATGTGAGTTTTATGAGACAATCTCCAACTCAAATACAATAAATTAGAAACCATGCAAGTATGTTGAAAAGAGTACAAATGCAACATGCAAGTGCATTAATGAACGGGCAAGCGTATTAAAAATTATGTTAGCGTGTTGTGCAAATGCACCAATAATTGTGCAAGTTCACCATATAGGATGTTAAGTGCATTATACAAATGCACAGAAAAGCAAGCAAATGCATCATGTAAAAGCATTAAAAAAAACATGCAAGTACATTAAGTGCATCAAAATTGTACAAATAAGTTACATGAAATCATTGAAAATTGTGCAAGTGTGCTAAAAAATGTGCATGCCTCCAAAATGACAAAAAATTACCAAAATTATTTCATCTATTGCACCAAAAAATATAACAATTTGCATAGAAATATAGTATAAGAAAGCTGCACAAACTAATATAAATCGAACTCAAAATATACAAATACTCTAAAAGAATTGCAACTATTTCAAAATGCAGAACTCTCTTTTTAAATTTATTTAAATTCATCAAGCTATGCATACTCTTGAGCGGGTCAGCTCACTTATATGATAAAATTGTATGTCTTACTTAACAAGACCGATTCTCCTCCCATTAGAGACTGGAGTTAAAGAGACATACTTTGAAAACATTGAAATGAACTTTAACAAAATTGCAAATGGACAATGAATTACTCTTACTCTTGATCTAATCCGACAAACTGACATCAACATAGATTAAGAACCAAACACTCGTAGATTTTATCAATATTTTTTGTGCTTCATTTGTAAAAGGCCATCAATGCCTCTCTCAAGGAAAATTCATTTTAAAATGAGAAGCTTTTAGTACAATACCTATAAAGAATAATCGCAAACTCAATTCACTTATTGATCCTGTCCATATGGTGGTAAAATCGATGTAGTCAGTTATGCACAGAACATCAAATAAACTTAAACCATACACAAATTATGGATCTAGTTCTCTGTAAGTAGGCGAGTAGAGATTACATTGTAAAAAACAACTAGATGAAAGTACAGAAATTACAATTATGGTGATGTGTAGCTATTGCATATCATTACTAGAGACTTCCCTTTTAATAGTTGAACATTTTAATTATAAATGTGAATGATACAAATGACCTTTAGCTTGATGATAGTTGCATTGCTAGAAAATACCAACAAACAGAAACTCTATTTTCAAAATGCTCCTAAATTCCAAAGTAAATCATTTTTGGTTGAAATCAAAATAATAATAAAAAAAAAACTTCAGAAAATTATAAAAAGTAAAATATTCAAGCAAAATTTATTTGTTAAAGTTGAAAATCAAAATCCACACTCTACTCAATAATTTGCCAAGGATGATAAATTTAAAATAACCCCCGCCCACAAAGAGCTAGCCAACATCATACCAAATATCTATATAATTACTCTCAAAAGATCCCAATTTAGTAAAAGTATGCAACGTGTCATTTAATTATATGATTGTGTTATCTGAATGACACCACAAAAAGAGTAATTTCAATCGAGGCCCTTTGAACTGGTCGTTCATTGTGAAATAATACTATTAAATTAAGTTCATAACAAAAGTCCACAAGTTTGATTTCCAATGGCCTAAATCCCCTGAGTGAATCATGTAGTGCCTTGATAGGGAATAAAGCCCTTTATTTTATAAGGTCAATTTAAAATTTTCTCCTTAAACAAGCATCCACCCTAGATTTATAAGATTCTTTCAAACGACACAACTAATGGCAGTTGACAAGAATCATTCAATCAGCTGAATCGACTTCCTCAATTGAGTAAACCTGGGTCCATGACATTCTGAGATGACATAACGATGGGATCATGATCTGGTTTGTTGCCATTCCCAACATACGTTCTTAGTTGAAGTTGATGAATTTCATCTATTTAAAATTAAAATTGCTGCCACCAAATACAAAAACATTTGGCATCTAACTACTACAATAATAAAAAATTTCATTTGATTAAGAAGGATAATTAATCATAAGAGCTTTAGGCAACGTAAAAACAAATCTTAAAGTCCTCATAAGATGGGTTAAAATCTTTGAGCAGTTTCTTATAAATTTAATGTCTTATGAAAATTTGACTTGAAACTATAAATTTTCTTACCGGCTGCAACTTCTTGGAGCCCACATTAAACTGTGTGGTGTATTTTGTTCGTAGATATAATTTTTAAATTAATTAGCTTCTATTAGTGCATTCAATTATAAAAGCCTGAATTTAGGATTTAGAAAAAAGCTCTAAAGTTCCTTATTACAAGCTCTATTAAACCCAGCTTGGCAACACTTATTGTCGTTATCGGAAAAAAACAACCCTCAAACAAGTGCTTTCTCCTAAAAAAAAATTCCTTTTGCTTGTAACTTTGACCAAACAAGCTTCTGTTTTGTTCAATTGTCTTGCATTCTTAACACAAAAAATGCATTAGAAGCTCCTAGTGCAATTATTTTCCCATTATTTTCATTTGTCAAAAATGAAAAATATTAAAAAAAAAAAAAAAGAAACGCAGAAACTACCTGCCACATGCCTATGAAACAACGGATCTCCAAATTTTTGCATCCATAAGAAGTCATCATACATGGAGTGGTACACGGGATAATCTATAAATCATTTCAGCAATAGATTAGAAACTTCCAGCAACCCCAAAAGAGAAATATTTAGAAAAAATTAAAAAATTAAGAATAGAAGATCCTTAAAAAGTTGATATAAAATTTACAAACAAAAAAACATGGATACCTCTTCCAAATCTCATATCAACTGAAGGGATACCAACATGCTGAACAAAAGCCTCATAATCGGATCCACCACCACCTAACCTCCTTATCTGTCGATATGAACTTCAAAACTCATTTTCAGTTCATATAATATTTCTTTACAAGCTTATATGTAGAGGAAAAAAAATTGGACGAGGAAGGATAGACTCCAAAAATTAATGCCATTACAACATGTAATTTTAATTTATAGACAACAGAAGAAAATCAAAGAGATTTGCTATAAAATCTGTGACAAAATGATAAAAAGTTAAAATAATTGCATGTATTGAGCAGAACACCTAACATTGAAGATAATGGAGAGACCCCATAATAAATACAATAATCATACTGAGAAATTATAAAGTCATGAAGATGTTTGTTGTAAAATCTAAGACAGCACAACAAAAATATTAAAACAAACTATTCTAGTTTGAGGTATTTTGTGTCATGTGCCATATACCGACAAGGCGCGTGAGAAATAAATCCATGCAAAATAAATTCATGCAAAATGGTGCCCATTCGTATGAGAGTTGGGTTTGTTATCCTCACTGTTGGAGCATGAAGCCTACAACACCCGAAGAAGAAGAACTTTGGAGGTGCTCCTGTGCTGCTGAAATTGCGCTCCTGCGCCACTTTGGAGAGGCGGTGTAACCATGCCAGGATTGGCGTAGCTATGTTGCGGTCCCCGGTTCTAGGCTTATGAAACTGAGCAAATGAAATAATTACAACTCTTCAGGGTGTAACGGGTGTAACTATGCCGCTCAGACAATTGTTTTGGATTCGGTACTTAATTTTTGATTTGAGCGATGAAGAGTAATATTCTCGTGCGTGGTATTTCTCGACTGGAAATCTTCGTGAAGGTGAATTGTCAGAAGAGATTTCAGGAGGAGTGCTTTCTCCTGTGAGATCGAGAGAAAGATTTGGAACAAAGTTATGTAAGTTTTGTTGAGAGAAGATTTGAATGTGGCTCTGTACGTTACTCTCATTCATAGTAAACTTTTGGTGTGGTGTGGTTCCTGGTTTTTCCTGTTTTCATGTTTTTTCAGTAAATCTTGTTGTGTTTTTCTTATATTACTTTTTTATGCTTTTGTTCGATTTCTTTTATGTCATATTTCTCGAATCAATGTTCCTGCTTTCCGTAGTGTGATTTCGATTGTGACAAATTGAAACCCTCAGCGCATATTCCATCCCAACACCCAACCACCCATTTTTTGATTCCATAGGTTAAAGAGAAGAAACATAATTGAATATTCTAAGGACTCGTTTGGCATCACTTTTATTTTTTGTTTATATTTTTATTTTTTATTTTATTTTCGAAATCATATTTGATTGATATAAATTCTATAAATTTTTATATTTTTGTTTCTAGGAACATATCAAATTATTTTTAAAAACAATCAAAACACCTAAGAAGATGTTAGAGTGTTTTTAAAACAACTACCTCAATCTAACATCTTTTAATTTAAATCAAACATAAAAAAAATAAAATAAAAGTAAAAAAAAATAAAAAACAAAAAAGTAAAAAAAAAAAAATGAAGTGATCCCAACGGCCCCCAAGGAAATTCAACGTCTATTGTAGTCGCATATAGCTAGAAAGCCAAACAGTACTTACCAGAGGAGAATCAGTAGCAACCCAAGATTCAAATAGAGTCTGCGACGAATTGTCTGGATCTTGAACCTTCACAAATTAAAAGAAAAAAAAAAAAGAAAAAATAAGTAATGTTTCGGTTACAAAACCTAATAAAAATGCAGCATATATGCACATACTAAGAGGAAGTAATCAAAGCATATAGTATGCTAGCTTGACGTCATACACAATTTGAAGAAACTATATCCTGCAGCATTCAGATTGGCAGGCCCATGACCATTTTATGTTCTAATTTTGCTTTAAAGTGCTGATTTCAGCGCACATACTTCCCAACTATAGGAATTATTATAATTATCTCGGTTATAGTTAGTAAGATAATATATAAGAGCTAATAATAATCTGATGAGAATCAGGTGAGACATAATTCAAATAAAAAAGAGCAAACAAGATAAAGTGTCAAAATAATCCCCAGGCTATTTACAAGAGGCCATTTTAGACCTAGAGTATATAGAAGTGCCAAATTAGTCAACATACTCTTTAAATTGCGGTTGAAATAGTCCTTCGTGGAGATTATTTAGTCCAAAATAAAAGATCAGTCTAGGGATTAAATTGACATTTTATAGACTGGGACCAAAATGACCAGCTGCAAAAAGATCAACTCACAAAACATATGAAGGTTTTATGCAGACTCATCTAATTGAACGCTGTCATATTAAAATCATTGTATATTTCATTATAAATGTGGAGTTTTAAAGACCTAATCACATCCATAATCTCTCTAACCTATCTCACATCATGATGGCACCCTTCCTCCTGCCATAATGACCAAAAGGCGAAAACAATAAAAATTATAGTGCAGTCACAAAAATGCCCTTAACCATCCCAGTTTAACTGTACTTAATGAGTTTCTTTCCAGGACATAAACACAATTTAACAAAATCTTTAATGAAAAAGCGTGCCTGAAATTATTTGAAAGTCACAATTTTTCAATTCACTTTTTCTTAAATTAATGACCATTGCTTATGTGGCAAAATATTTTTGTGACTTAAGAAAATATTTAATCAATACTTTCATAAAAAGTTGTAACTGAAACAGTTAATCATAGAAGTAATAGTCATACATCTCTAAAAAAGTTTTTGTTGGAATATTTGCTTAGGAGTACCTAAAATTAAGGAATTAGTTTTATTTTCTTTAAATCTTGTTTTTAAAGCTTTGATTTCTTTTAGCTATTTTTATGGACGTTGATTAGGGAGCATTAATTACTTTCCTTTTTCTCTGCTTTGTATTGGGCGGCAATTTAAAATATATGTGCTGCCGTTTTTTTTGAATTTAGAACAATCAAGCTTCTTCATTTTTCTTTCTCCTCTTTCTCTTGTTCAAGAAACCTTCAATTGGTATCAGAGCTCATTTCTTAAGGGGCCTGTGTGTGCGAGCGGCTGTTATGGAGATCGACACCAGTTTTTCCTCGATTGTTCCACCCTTGTTCGACGGTGAGAACTATCGGATTTGGGCGATACACATGGAGACTTATCTGGAAGCCATGGATCTCTGGGAAGCAGTGGAAGAAGACTACGATATTCCTCCTCTTCCTGAAAATCCCACCGTGGCACAGATTAAAGAACAAAAGAAGAGTAAGACGAAGAAATCCAAGGCAAAAGCCT